TTAATCAGAGCACTCCCCCCTCAAAAAACTCCCACAGCTACTCTTGCATACCAAGTAAAGTCCATACTCCTTAACCCGACCCTCCAACATCTGATTCTAACCTGCTTTTCTGGTTGTATTTCCCATTACTGCCGTAGACACACCTTATGCTCCAGTCATGCTACATGCCTTCCCACCCCTGCACTTTCGCTCATGACATTACCTGCAATATCTTTCTCCCCATCTTTGCCCAGCAAACTCCTACTCATTCTTGTAAGACCGAACTCAGATGGTTTTTCTCCTCTGTGAAGTCTTCACATCTATTCCTCCTCATCCCTCATTGGAAGTCCTTCTTTCTGTAGCACTTCAACCATGGCAATCACATGCTATGGACACACTACTCTTATTCTTCTATTACTTTTCAGTTCTGGGGCACAGGGACCATGCCCCTTTCATCCTTGCCTCATTCCCAGTATTAACGCACACGATGAGTACTTAATGAAGACTTGCTAAATTAATGTGAAATAAAGACAGAGAGAAAGGCAGCATGATGTAGTAGAATATGAGATTTGAAATCAGAAAGCCCAGCAGTCATTGATGAATGGTATGGCCAGTCTGAGTACAATTCTGCATCTGTAAAATGGGCATATTTCTCATGCTATGGACCTTACAGGGAAGGAGGCAGGAATTTAAAAAAAATCAATGATGTACACATGCATGTACACACACACACACATAAAATAACTCTATAGAGGTGAAATATGTTAATTAGCGCGACTGAGGTAATAATTTCACAGTGTATATAAAATATCAAGTTGTACACTTTAAATATAAACAATTTTTGTGTCAATGACATCTCAATAAAACTGTTTTAAAAATCAAATGATCTATATATACTAGGTCAGTGGTCAGCAAACTCATTAGTCAACAGAGCCAAATATCAACAGTACAACGATTGAAATTTCTTTTGAGAGCCAAATTTTTTAAACTTAAACTATATAGGTAGGTACACTGTCATTAACTTAATTAGGGTACTCCTAAGGCTTAGGAAGAGCCACACTCAAGGGGCCAAAGAGCTGCATGTGGCTCACGAGCCACAGTTTGCCGACCACTGTACTAGGTGGTTAGCAGAAAAGCCACAATACTTAAACCAGCCTTTGAAGGTCTGCCTTTCTCCCCTGGGTATGCTTTGTGGAGAAGAAAGTGAAGTGGGGAGAAGATGAGCCATTAAAACTCAGCTGTTTACAGACTTTAGGCCAGAAGTTGCTGAGGGCAATGGAGCGCTGGGGAGGAAAGAGAGCCTTGACGGAAACGCCTGGTGCTCTCACTACCTTCCCTTCCCGGAGGAAGACAAGGTAACTCTACTCCCGAAGGCATCGGTGAAATGAGCCCTGGCCTGGAGGACTCCGTGATAAGGCTGATTGAGGTAATAATTTCACAGTGTATACTAGTATTACATCTTGCTTGTCAGCTGCCAGGTGAGCCTTCCAGCTCTGGAAGGGGAACAAGGTGGCATGCCTGCGCCTCTTCCCTTACAGCACTGTGTTCCCCTCCCAGAGTCAAAGGCTGAACAATGTGGTCAAGACTGTGGGCTGTTTGTCTAATTCAGATCCCAGGTCAGTCTTCAGAGTTGGCACTGTGCTCTTCTTCCTAATATAGGAATATCCCCTCTTCTTGAAATTCCATCGCTTACCATTTCATTCTTTTAGGCTTTGTTTCCGGCTTAAAGGAAAACATCTTTGAGCTCTGAGGAAGCTTTAAGACTCATCTGACCTCATCCTTTCCTAAGAAGCAGCTGTTGAGGTAAGCCTGAAGCCCTAACAGAGAATGAGGCCAGTGAGCCTGAGGAGACGCTCTGGCCTCTGCTGGACCCTAAAGGCAGGCTTCATTTATGTGCATGTGTGTAGAAATCCGTGGCCTTTTTGTGGCAATGGATTGAGCCCTCTGCCCCTCTCAAACACTTTCTTCTGTGGGCTTTGGTCACACACAGTTGCATACACAGGCCTTCCAAAGGGTCTCTCCTAGGCTAGCCAAGGCAGTTTCCAAGTTGGTGGACGGTGGGAATGGTTAGGAGCCATCTGTGGAGATCTCTTCACTCCGTCCTCTAAATCTCCTTTTGTCCCATTCCGCCTCCTCTCCCGTCCAACCCGTTGAGCCTCTCTGGGCCAGTGCTGCCCCCACAAAACCGCACCTGGAGAGGCAGGAATCCCAAGAGCACGTGACAAACGTGGGGACTGCGCTTTGGGCCCTAGCTGTCACCTTTTCGCCAAACTGCTCCGAGGGGCTCCCACGCGATCAGGAAAGGGGCTGGTGCCCACGGCGGGGCCCTGACCACGGGAACCCCAGCAATCCCTCCTCCTGGCCCCGCCCGCCCGCTC